TTTGTGTAGGGACCTATATCGAACCTGGATTTTTTAAAACATATTTTTCGGTGCCTATAGAAGGTGTAGATTTGTTAAAAACTATTTTTAGGGACCTATATGAGGCCTGGATTTAAAATATATATATATATATATATATATATATATATTAGGGACCTATATGAGGCCTGTATTAAAAAAATATATAGTTTAGGGGCCTATATGAAGCCTTGATTTTTAAAAAAATATTTTTAAGGACCTGTAGAAGGTGTAGTTTTTTTTAATATGTTTAAGGACCTAACACAAAGTAAACACTATACGGACCACAGAGCGTATGTTGCATGTCATCAATCATACGCCAGCGGACCACCTAGCGTATGGTGCATGACGTCAATCATACGCCAATTTAAAAAACTTTTTATAGAAATTTTGTCTGAGATTTGTGTAGGGACCTATATCGAGGCTGGATTTTTTAAAACATATTTTTCGAAGCCTATAAAAGGTGTAGATTTGTTAAAAAATATTTTTAGGGACCTATATGAGGCCTGGATTTAAAAAATATATATTTTAATGACCTATATGAGTACTTCGAAATATTTTTCTAAAGTAACCTAAAGCCTGGGTTTTTTTTAACCTTATTTTTTAACGATATTAAATTCCTCTTCGTTCCTAAATTAAATTGTTCGGCATTTAATTTCATTCTACCTCTATCAAGGTGCTGCTGCTTATGGGCAACGACGCACAAAAAAAACCCTCAGCACTTGCCACACATTAATCTCCTTCACATCCAAACAGACATTTCGCATCATAAATAGTTAATTTTTGTTTCGTTTTTGTAGCCATTGTTCTAGTGAAATCGGCATTAAAATACCTCAGTCATAGCAGCAGCTGAGTTTAAATCTTCGTCAACGAACTTTGTGAGCTATAGATAGATAGGTATTTCACACGTGATTTTAAATTGATTTTTGTTGTACTTTTATGATTAACCCATGGGACACCGAGAAGGAGTTTTTTCTTTATAAAATCTGAAATATGTTTTTGCGGAAGTCCGGAGCATCTCCTTTTTACAAAAAAATTCATTGCGTACCATGGTGCGTATGATGGGTGTCATCACTCATACGTAATGGTTCAACAGACCAGGGGAAGACTTCTAAAATAATTTTTTCACGGATCCACATAAGGGGAAGACTTCTAAAATCTATTTTCAAGGACCTAAGGGGAAGACTTTAAAATTTTTTTTTCAACGATCTACATAAGGGGAAGACTTCTAAAATTATTTTTTCAAGGACCTACATAAGGTGAAGACTTCTAAAATTATTTTTTCAAGGACCTACATAAGGGGAAGACTTCTAAAATAATTTTTTCAAGGACCTACATAAGGGGAAGACTTCTTAAATTATTTTTTCAAGGACCTACATAAGGGGAAGATTTTAAAAATTTTTTTTCAAGGACCTACATAAGGGAAGACTTCTTAAATCATTTTTTCAAGGACCTACATAAGGAGAAGACTTCTAAAATTATTTTTTCATGGACCTACAGAAGGGGAAGACTTCTAAAATTATTTTTTCAAACACCTACATAAGAGGAAGACTTCAAAAATTATTTTTTCAAGGACCTACATAAGGGGAAGACTTCTAAAATTATTTTTTCAAGGATCTACATAAGGGGAAGACTTCTAAAATAATTTTTTCAAGGACCTACATACGGGGAAGACTTATAAAATTATTTTTTCAGGGACCTACATAAGGGGAAGATTTCTAAAATTATTTTTTCAAGGACCTACATAAGGGGAAGACTTTTAAAATTATTTTTCAAGGACCTACATAAGGTGTAGGTTTTTAAAGAATATTTTTAAGATTTTTTTTTTTCAAGGACCTACATAAGGTGTAGACTTCTAAAATTATTTTTTCAAGAACCTACATAAGGGGAAGACTTCTAAAATAATTTTTTCAAGGACCTACATAAGGGGAAGACTTCTAAAATTATTTTTTCAAGGACCTACATAAGGGGAAGATTTTAAAAATTTTTTTTCAAGGACCTACATAAGGGAAGACTTCTTAAATCATTTTTTCAAGGACCTACATAAGGAGAAGACTTCTAAAATTATTTTTTCATGGACCTACAGAAGGGGAAGACTTCTAAAATTATTTTTTCAAACACCTACATAAGAGGAAGACTTCAAAAATTATTTTTTCAAGGACCTACATAAGGGGAAGACTTCTAAAATTATTTTTTCAAGGATCAACATAAGGGGAAGACTTCTAAAATAATTTTTTCAAGGACCTACATACGGGGAAGACTTCTAAAATTATTTTTTCACGGATCCACATAAGGGGAAGATTTCTAAAATTATTTTTTCAAGGACCTACATAAGGGGAAGACTTTTAAAATTATTTTTCAAGGACCTACATAAGGGGAAGACTTCTAAAATTATTTTTTCAGGGATCTACATAAGGGAAAGACTTCTAAAATTATTTTTTCAAGGACCTACATAAGGGGAAGACTACTAAAATAATTTTTTCTCGGATCTACATAAGGGGAAGACTTCTAAAATTATTTTTTCAAGGACCTACGTAAAGGGAAGACTTCTAAAATTATTTTTTCAAGGACCTACATAGGGGGAAGACATCTAAAATTATTTTTTCAGGGATCTACATAAGGTGAAGACTTCTAAAATTATTTTTTCAAGGACCTACATAAGGGGAAGACTTCTAAAATAACTTTTTCGCGGATCTACATAAGGGGAAGACTTCTAAAATGATTTTTTCAGGGATCTACATAAGGGGAAGACTTCTAAAATAATTTTTTCAAGGACCTACATAAGGGGAAGATTTTAAAAATTTTTTTCAAGGACCTTTTCGCGGATCCACATAAGGGGAAGATTTCTAAAATTATTTTTTCAAGGACCTACATAAGGGGAAGACTTCTAAAATTATTTTTTCAGGGATCTACATAAGGGAAAGACTTCTAAAATTATTTTTTCAAGGACCTACATAAGGGGAAGACTACTAAAATAATTTTTTCTCGGATCTACATAAGGGGAAGACTTCTAAAATTATTTTTTCATGGACCTACATAGGGGGAAGATTTCTAAAATTATTTTTTCACGGATCCACATAAGGGGAAGATTTCTAAAATTATTTTTTCAAGGACCTACATAAGGGGAAGACTTCTAAAATTATTTTTTCAAGGACCGACATAAGGGGAAGACTTCTAAAATTATTTTTTCAAGGACCTACATAAGGGGAAGACTTCTAAAATTATTTATTCAAGGACCTACATAAGGGGAAGACTTCTAAAATTATTTTTTCAAGGACCTACATAAGGGGAAGACTTCTAAAATAATTTTTTCACGGATCTACATAAGGGGAAGACTTCTAAAATGATTTTTTCAGGGATCTACATAAGGGGAAGACTTCTAAAATAATTTTTTCAAGGACCTACATACGGGGAAGACTTCTAAAATTATTTTTTCACGGATCCACATAAGGGGAAGATTTCTAAAATTATTTTTTCAAGGACCTACATAAGGGGAAGACTTCTAAAATTATTTTTTCAGGGATCTACATAAGGGAAAGACTTCTAAAATTATTTTTTCAAGGACCTACATAAGGGGAAGACTACTAAAATAATTTTTTCTCGGATCTACATAAGGGGAAGACTTCTAAAATTATTTTTTCATGGACCTACATAGGGGGACGATTTCTAAAATTATTTTTTCACGGATCCACATAAGGGGAAGATTTCTAAAATTATTTTTTCAAGGACCTACATAAGGGGAAGACTTCTTAAATTATTTTTTCAAGGACCGACATAAGGGGAAGACTTCTAAAATTATTTTTTCAAACACCTACATAAGGGGAAGACTTCTAAAATTATTTATTCAAGGACCTACATAAGGGGAAGACTTCTAAAATTATTTTTTCAAGGACCTACATAAGGGGAAGACTTCTAAAATTATTTTTTCAGGGATCTACATAAGGGAAAGACTTCTAAAATTATTTTTTCAAGGACCTACATACGGGGAAGACTTCTAAAATTATTTATTCAAGGACCTACATAAGGGGAAAAATTATTTATTCAAGGACCTAGATAGGGGGAAGACTTCTAAAAGTATTTTTTCAGGGATCTACATAAGGGAAAGACTTCTAAAATTATTTTTTCAAGGACCTACATAAAGGGGAAGACTTCTAAAATTATTTTTTCAAGGACCTACATAGGGGGAAGACTTCTAAAATTATTTTTTCAGGGATCTGCATAAGGGGAAGTCTTCTAAAATTATTTTTTCAAACACCTACATAAGAGGAAGACTTCTCAAATTATTTTTTCAAGGACCTACATAAGGGGAAGACTTCTAAAATTATTTTTTCAGGGATCTAAAAAAATTTTTTCAAGGACCTCCATAAGACATAGAAGGTGTAGATTTTTAAAAATATTTATTCAAGGACTTCCATAAGGCGTAGATTTTAAAAAATATTTTTTCAAGGACCTACCCTAAAAATATAGGTGTAGATTTTTAAAAATATTTTTTCAAGGACCTATAGAAGGTGTGGATTTTTAAAAAAATATTTTTTCAAGGACCTACATAGATTTATAAAAATAAGTTTCAAGGGTATATAGAAGGCGTAGATTTTTAAAAATTATTTTTCTCTCGGTCCCTTAATGGGTTATCCTTATCCAACCGGTATCCTCCGCCATTCGAGAGACAAACAAAGGATGTGTACACACATTATGAATGATGAATTTAATATTGAAATGATATCGACTGCATAGCCAAATACAATGGTCCTGCACACATATCGTCAACAGCACAGCAAACGGCCAGGTTTGCCACTCATTGTTGTTGTTGGGTACCCCCCATCTGGGAAAAGGCCTAGTCAATGCGGGATAGTGAACGCACTGCAATGAAAAAAAACAAAACAGAAAAAAAAAATCTCCACACCTTTTGCTAACATTCATCCGATATTCATTCACATGTGTTTTTACGAATCTTTCTCACCCCATTCCCTCTTCATTTCCAGGTTGATGGCGAAGAGACTATTACCCTGCAGTTGAGCTTTCTACGTTTGCCTTGTGCCACACAATACATCAAAATACGTGATGGTCCATCATTATCCTCAACTTTGTTGATTGAGTTGCAGGGTGGTAGCGGAGGTGGTGTGGGGGTTGCTGCTGGTGTTGGTAGCAGTAACTCTGCCACGTCGACCACATCCCAGGGTAATGGCAATTTACCTGTTTTTGTGGAATCCAGTGGAGCTCAATTATTATTGGAATTTTTTGCCGGTGAGGATGGCAGCGGAGGCAGCATTGCGAACAATACTGAAATCCATACGGGCCTAATATGTACGGGCGGTTTTTTGGCCAACATTGAACAAATTGGTGAGTAATGATTTTTTCGGCGAATTCTTCTTCGGGGATTTTTTAAATTGTCGCATTTTTGTTTTGTAGCTAAAAATTCCTCGAGCGCATTAAATAAACCAGTAGTGGCCGCCACGGGCCTGACCATCAAAAGTCGAGCATTTCTACAGAAGCCCAAAATGAAATCGAAATTTACTCTGGTCCACTTGAGTGCTATTGTTTTTGCCAGCATCATAATACTCATCAGTGCTTTACTGGGTAAGTTTTCGAAGCAGAGGCGGAACTTAAATATTCCGAGGCGGAACTCAAATATTCCGAGGCGGAACTCAAATATTCGAAGGAAAAATGTTGAATTTTTTCTTCTCTTCCTCCAGGTGCCCAATATGTTGTTCGCTATCGTAAATATCATTTGGCCATAGCCAAGCGACGAGATGAGGGTTCTCGACTCCACACACCTAGTGCTTCAATGAATTCTCTGGCCAGCCCACCTTCGAGAGCCATATCGACCACAACTTTGATATCCGAAGTTATTTATATGGTTAAAATGCGTCCGAAACATCAGCTGAGGCATTCGATTTTAAGGGAGAGTGTCGATGCGGAAAATTTGGCCCGAGAGACCGAAATGAAGGAGTCTGTTATAAAGGAACCGACAATAAAGAGGTAAGAAGAAGGACTTTTTTGTGTGGATTTTTAAAAAAATATTTTTCGAACTTCTAAAAATAGTTTTCGAACTTCTAAAAATATTTTTCGAACTTCCTTTAAGGCGTGGATTTAAAAATAAATATTTTTCGAACTTCTAAAACTATTTTTCGAACTTCTTATTAGGCTTCGATTTTTTAAAAAATATTTTTTGAACTTCCAAAAATAATTTTCGAACTTCCTTTAAGCGTGCATTTTTTAAAAAAATATTTTTCGAACTTCCAAAAATATTTTTCGAACTTTGTATTAGGGGTGGATTTTTAAAAAAATAGTTTTCAAACTTCTAAAAATATTTTTCGAACTTCTTATTAGGCCTGGAATTTAAAAAAAAAAATTTTCGAACTTCTAAACATAATTTTCGAACTTTTTATTAGACGTGGAATTTTAAAATAATATTTTTCGAATTTCTAAAAATATTCTAAATACATTTTTTAAAAAAATATTTTTCGAACTTCTAAAAATATTTTTCGAACTTCCTTTAAGGCGTGGATTCTTTAAAAAATATTTTTCGAACTTCCTTTAAGGGGAGAATTTTTTAAAAAATATTTTTTGTCACTAAAATTTTTTGTCACTACCAAATAGGCGTGGATTTTTTAAAAAAATATTTTTCGAACTTCTAAAAATAGTTTTCGAACTTTGTATTAGGGGTGGATTTTTTAAAAAAAAGTTTTCAAACTTCTAAAAATATTTTTCGAACTTCTTATTAGGCCTGGAATTTAAAAAAAAAAATTCGAACTTCTAAACATAATTTTCGAACTTTTTATTAGGCGTGGAATTTTAAAATAATATTTTTCGAATTTCTAAAAATATTCTAAATACAATTTTTAAAAAAATATTTTTTCGAACTTCTAAAAATATTTTTCGAACTTCCTTTAAGGCGTAGATTTTTTAAAAAATATTTTTCGAACTTCCAAAAATAATTTTCGAACTTCCTTTAAGCGTGGATTTTTTAAAAAAATATTTTTCGAACTTCTAAAAATGTTTTTCGAACTTTGTATTAGGGGTGGATTTTTAAAAAAATAGTTTTCAAACTTCTAAAAATATTTTTCGAACTTCTTATTAGGCCTGGAATTTAAAAAAAAAAAATTCGAACTTCTAAACATAATTTTCGAACTTTTTATTAGGCGTGGAATTTTAAAATAATATTTTTCGAATTTCTAAAAATATTCTAAATACATTTTTTAAACAAATATTTTTCGAACTTCTAAAAATATTTTTCGAACTTTTTTTAAAACTATTTTTCGAACTTCCTTTAAGGCGTGGATTTTTTAAAAAATATTTTTCGAACTTCCTTTAAGGCGTGGTTTTTTAAAATTTTTTTTCGAACTTCCTTTAAGGCGAGGATTTTTTAAAAAATATTTTTCGAACTTCCTTTAAGCGTGGATTTTTTAAAAAAATATTTTTCGAACTTCTAAAAATAGTTTTCGAACTTTGTATTAGGGGTGGATTTTTTAAAAAAAAGTTTTCAAACTTCTAAAAATATTTTTCGAACTTCTTATTAGGCCTGGAATTTTTTAACTTCTAAACATAATTTTCGAAATTAGACGTGGATTTTAAAATAATATTTTTCGAATTTCTAAAAATATTTATTTTTTTAAAAAAATATTTTTCGAACTTCTAAAAATATTTTTCGAACTTCCTTTAAGGCGTAGATTTTTTAAAAAATATTTTTCGAACTTCCTTTAAGGCGTGGATTTATTTTTCGAACTTCCTTTAAGGCGTGGATTTTTTAAAAAAATATTTTTAAAAAATATTTTTCGAACTTCCTTTAAGGCGTGGATTTTTTAAAAAATATTTTTCGAACTTCCTTTAAGGCGTGGATTTTTTAAAAAATATTTTTCGAACTTCCTTTAAGGCGTGGATTTTTTAAAAAATATTTTTCGAACTTCCTTTAAGGCGTGGATTTTTTAAAAAATATTTTTCGAACTTCCTTTAAGGCGTGGATTTTTTAAAAAATATTTTTCGAACTTCCTTTAAGGCGTGGATTTTTTAAAAAATATTTTTCGAACTTCCTTTAAGGCGTGGATTTTTTAACAAATATTTTTCGAACTTCCTTTAAGGCGTGGATTTTTTAAAAAATATTTTTCGAGGACCATGTCACAGCTAGGCGTGGATTTTTTAAAAAATATTTTTCGAGGACCATGTCACAGCTAGGCGTGGATTTTTTAAAGAATATTTTTCGAACTTCCTTTAAGGCGTGGATTTTTTAACAAATATTTTTCGAACTTCCTTTAAGGCGTGGATTTTTTAACAAATATTTTTCGAACTTCCTTTAAGGCGTGGATTTTTTAACAAATATTTTTCGAACTTCTAAAAATATTTTTCGAACTTCTTTTAAGGCGTGGATTTTTAAAAAATATTTTTCGAACTTCTAAAAATATTTTTCGAACTTCCTTTAAGGCGTGGATTTTTTAAAAAAAAAATTTTCGAACTTCTAAAAATATTTTTCGAACTTCCTTTAAGGCGTGGATTCTTTAAAAAATATTTTTCGAACTTCCTTTAAGGGGTGGTTTTTTTAAAAAATATTTTTCGAACTTACTTTTGAGGCTTGGATTTAAAAAAAAAATCGAACTTCTTATTAGGCGTAGATTTTTAGGTCCTTATTTTTTTTTAAATCCACGCCGTGTATAGATTTTTTTAATCCTTAGCCTCCTAACTTAACCCCTCCCCCTCTTTTCTTTCTTTTTTTCAGTGTCGATGAACTTGGCAGCAATGTTTCGATTAGCACTTTGCGCAATGAAATCATATCTCCAACCACCGAATCTATGAGTCGCACTCCCTCCACCGAAGGCGGCTTGGTACAGCGTACCGCCAGTGAGTGTTCAATTGATAATGAGGCCGATGAGGATGAAAATGATCCACGCAACGCCACCCTGAAACGTAAGGATAGCGCTAAAGATTCCGAAAGTATTATCTCATCGGGAATGTCATCGATCTGCCAGAGCCCACCCATGAACACGAAGCGTAGTAGTAAATATTCCGAACGCTATGATGCTGCCACCCTGAAAATGACCAATTCCTATATGGAAGAGAAAACCGATTGTGAGTCACTGAAATCGATAATTGTCCATCAGCAGCAGCAACAGCATCAGAGGATGAATCCGCGTTGCAGTTCAGTTAATTTGACAAATGTAAGTGGGTGCGGAGGAGGTCAACAGAGGATCCAAATTTTTAATTTATTTCTTTTTTATTTCTAGGGCTGCTATTCCCCAGCCTCCAGTATCATCAGCTCCGCCACCATACGCAGCACAAATGCCAAGGAGAGCAAGGAGAAACAAAATCGCAAGAAGTTATTGGCCCGTCCTGGCTCCGAATTCTCTCTGGGGAATCAGGAGGACTTCGAGCTGGACTATTATGACTACAATGTGACAAATGCAGGAGCGGCTCCAGGATCATATTTGGGTATGGATCCAGCCTATTTAATATGGATACCACCCTTCGATGATATACCCGATTCCCCGGAGCGGGAAGATGATGATAAAACGCCCGAGCCGATACCAGATGAAAATCATCCCCTCTATGAAGATATTAAAATGCCAAAATATGGACACTATCTAAGTCCGCATAGTAATACGAACTCGAGTAATAATACCACCACCAATACCAGTCCCATATCAGATGAACTATCCCCGCTCAATAGTAACTACCACTCCAAAGCGACAACACCCTCCGAAACAGATTTGAAAAATTGCCTCATACGCAAGGCGATTTCTTCGAATTCACAAAATTCACCCTCCAAACAATCGACACCATATCTATCGCGTAAGAAACGTAAACATCAGCGGCAGCAATCTAAATCGACAATGTCGCTAGGGCATCATGATCCCGCCGAAGAAGAGAGTATACCTCTGAAGGAGTTGAATTGTACTAAATCGGCACGCAATTTGGTGCTGCAACACCAAGAAAATCACCAAAACCAACCCATGGAAACGGGTACCATTTTAGAGACGGATTCCATGAATGGTTCGTATATCGAAAAGGAAACATCGGTTGTTAAATCACCAAGTGATTTACAAAACTACACATCGGATATACAATTTGCGGATGATAGTGATGGCAGTGATATTGAATTATCGTCCATAGGACATCAAAAAGAGCGTAAGCTGTCGGCAAAGGAAATACTGGCGGAGGAATGTAAAATTGTAAGGGATATGAAAAAGGTTAGCGGGACACTGTTGTCGCAGCAGACACATCCAACAACGCGTACAATGAAAAGGACACAGGTTTAAGGTGGTTTGGGTTGAGGGGGAATTTTTCAGGGGGAAGAAAAAATTATTGGGAAAAAAATCGTTAAATATTTCCCGACAAATCAAATATTCAGCAAATATTCTGGACCTTGGAGGGCTCGAGAAAAAAATTTAAAATAATCAAAGCCTTATGGGATCTTGGAAGAAATTCTAAAAATAATCGAAGTCCTGTAGGACAGTAGGAATATGCTTGGTTTTAACTTCTGAAATTTATCAAAAATCGCTGCCTTGGGGGACTCTGGAAATTTTTAAAATGTCGAGGCCTTATGGACCTTTGTATAATTTTCTGAAAATAATTCAAATCTTGTAATAATTTTGTATTCTTAGATTTGCCAGGATAGATCCCACAAGGCTCAAATGAAAATATGATTAAATATTCGATGCCCCATATAATAATGTGGGAACCAGAAGCCTTGGGAAACACGAAACCCTGAAAATGAAAAAAAAAAATATTGCCTCATTTGATCAAGGGAAACATTCTGAAAATATTTCAAGTCTTGTGGGACCTCGGAAATATATTTTAACATTCTAGGCTTTGTAAGATTCTGGAAAATATTTTTTTTAAATATTGCAAGTCATGTGTGAAGCCATGTGTGACCCAGGATAAATATTTCTAAAAACTTCAAATTCAAATAATTAATTAAAACCCCCCTTAAAAAGTCATCGTGTCTTCCGAGTGCTGGAACAAAGTTCTGTGAATACCCCAAGTCTTATGGAACCCTGAAAATATAAATGCATTTCAAGCCATGATGGGCCTTGAACAAAATTTGAAAAAAATTAAAGCTTTGCGGGATCATGTGAAACTCTGAAGAATTATTGTGGAACCCTAGAAACAAATTATTTTTAAATATTCTAAAGCCTGTGAGACCCAGGAAATATTTCTGTAAAGCATCAAAGTCTTGCTAGAGGCTTAAATAGCTGTTCAAATAATCTATGCCTCTATTGGATGCTTAAAATAAAATCCGTAAATTTTAATTTTTAAGCCCTGTAACTCGAAACCCTAAAAATTGTAAAAATCCAAACCGTATGGGTCCTTGAAAAAATGTTTTGAAAATATTTCAAGACTTGTGGAACCCTTTTTAAGTATTCTATATCTTGTTGAACCCTGGAAAATATTTTTAAATATCTTATGGAGCCATGGGAACTATGGAATCATGGATACTTTTTTGGGTTCTAATAGGTCTTTGTGGGACCCTGAAAACATTTTTTTTTTAATTTTGAAATATTTGTGACCCAGAAAATTTCTTTAAAGCGTCAAAAGCATGCTAGAGGCTTAACTCGGTCTTCAAACAATCAACGTCTGTGTTGAGTGCTCGGAAAAAATTCTGTAAATATCCTAAAGCCTTTTGAAACTCGGTTGTCGGAGATATTTCTTGTCCGATTAGAGGTCAACAACACCTCTCCCTTAAACTGAAATATTTTCCGAATATTACTCATATTCAGTACAGTCCTTCTAATTACTTGTCCATATTCCCTTCACCGTGGGTTTGTTGTGATGTTCGGCTTATAATTGTATAATTGAAAAAAAAAACACACACACACACACAAAACAATTAAGTTTTCGGTGCACTTCATCGCAAACAGGCATGATTATTCTTTGGCCCGATCCCCTTCTCCACGTAAATATTTGCGATGTTTCGGTCATAATTGCGGCCTCTGGAGCGACCAAAAAAAAAACCGACAAAAATTAAGTATTTGGTGGATTTCATCCCCTAAATATTAACCGATCTTTACCAAAAACAATAGGGGTCTTCATTGGGCAGAACCCATCCTACATGCAAAATTTCCTGAAGATTGGTCCATGACTGTCGTCTGTATCGTGTACACATGTGTAGATCAACTCATCTAGTCGAGATATAACGATCGGTATACTTAAACTCTTGGGGCTGCAAAAACCTATAATACCCTGACAACATAGTTGTGTAGGGTATAAAAACTCAGGCGTTGTATTATGAAAGCCTTATGAGACCCAAGAAATATTTGTTTTAACCAGTGAGCGGAGCAGTATAGTCGGACGGGGCCGATCATACGATACCCTACACAACTATCACAGAACTCTATCTTTCTGTGGATTTTTATTCCGACCCTGGGTAATATTTCGTGAAAGTTGCACTTTCTTGCCCGATTATAAATCAACAGCACCTCTTCCTTATACTCACATATTTTCCGAATATTACTATTCATATTCTGTACAGCCCTTCTAATTACTTGTCCATATTCCCTTCACCTTGGGTTGTGTTGTGATGTTCGGCTTATAAATGTAGCCTATAGATCGAATCGAGAAAAAAAACACACAAAAAATAAGTTCTCGGTCCACTTCATCCCAAAATTATTATTATCAATGGACATACGGACGGACGGACATACATGTTTAGATCGACTCAGCTAGTCGAGATATGAGATCGATATACATAATGATGGGTCTAAGACCAATATTTCGCGGCGTTACAAACTCTTGGGACTGCACAAAGCTATAATACCCTGACAACATAGTTGTGTAGGGTATAATTACCCTGAGCCTTTCGGCATCCTGAAAATTTTAAAGAAAATGTCTAAGCCTTAAAAAAAAATCAAGTCTTCTGAGACCCTGGAAAAAATCTTACAATATTTCAAGCTTTGGTGCCTTGTTTGGTACATGACAAAAATACTATATGCGTTACGGAACCTTAAAAAAATTCTGTAAATATTCGAAACCTTGTGCAACTCAGGAACATTTTTTAAGAGTTAATATCCTTCCAGTCTCCGTTACAAAAACCACCAAATGTTGGGCGTCACAATTCCTTTATTATCAATCGGACTTTCAGATGCTTCTGATAAATTTCTATTAATATGTTATGCATTAATATTAAAATGTCACGTTGGGCGCCACTTTTTATACCCTCCACCATAGTATGGAGGGTATATTAATTTTGTCATTCTGTTTGTAACTCATCGAAATATTTCCGACCCCATAAGTTGTATATATTCTTGATCAGAGTAAAATTCCAAGACGATCTAGCCATGTCCGTCCGTCTGTTGTAATCACGCTATCTTCTGAAGTGATTCATAGTGGGTACCATGCGTTAATAATATATGTCAACATAGGATATCGAGATAAAAAAACTAGATCGGAAGGTTCGATAATAAACTATATATGAACTATAGCCCGGTCTTTAGGTATAGGCCTACCCCCTGTGTTTGACGTACCAGAAGGAGTGGACCGATATTCCCCCATCTTCGAACTTAAGCTAAGATTGGAAGAAATAATAAGATGGGCAAAGTTTAGATGAAAACAAAATTTTCTAAAACGGATTTGGTCCAAAGAAACATGGGTCAAGAACCAATATTTCGATGAGGCACATTTTCACTGTATCAAAGTGTATACACCCACATTGGCCATAAGGCTGAGGGTATAAATATCCATTAAAAATTGCTGAAATTGGCATTTGGTTTACATAATCAGTTTGTAGAAAGTTCACTTTTTCCCCTATATTTTCATTTCAAGTACCTCAGTCAGTATATCTATGGTGGAGGGTATCCAACGTTCGACCCGGCCGAACTTAACGCTTTTTCACTTGTTATTTTGTAAATTTTAATGACGATTTTTCTTGGAAGCTGTGTACGTTGGGCCATCACAACTCACTTATAATCTATCGAACGTTCAGATTCTTTAGATAAATTTCAACAAATGTTAAGAGTCTTCAAAGGCACTTTTACATTAATGAAAGTGCCATATTGGGCGCCACTTTTTATTTTAAAAATTTATGTCTGTTTTTGGCGACACTGACAAACTTGATAAATTCCGATCCGATTAATTCCGTAGAATTGTGTGGAATGCTAATGTGCAAATGTTACGTTGGGCGCCAATTTCCATTTTATGTTTTTTATGTCGATTTTTTAGGAAGCCTAAAATGACATTCGATCTTAAATATTTCTCTGACAATTTCCGGTATTATATTTGGTCGCCAATCAATAATAAAAGTTCCCCCGACGAATTCCAAAAAAAAAAAACAAACTGTGAAATGTTGTTTAAAAACTCACATTCGGCGCCAATTTTCATTTCGAAGTTATGGAATCCAGAAAAGAACCAGTAAGGAAAGTAGTAAAGTCGGACGGGGCCGACTATATGATACCCTTCACCACTATGGATATATTAAACAGGACTATTAACATGAAATTGGATGAAATAAAATATGTGATATTTATCTAAATGTGAATCTACCTAGATATATCCATAAAGTATGTAAATCGACTTCAAACAAATATAAATGGGTCATCCGTTGGGCTATGTCTGTACTTCTAGAAAACGCAACTACGTAATTCTATGCTCAATTTTGTACGTTGTGCAAAATTTGATGTCAACCTGACTAGCATGAAGAGTTTGATGTCCAATTTACTTAAAATCGGGCGAAAATATATATGGAAGCTCTATCCAAATATATCGAAGGATATATAGGGACTTTGGTGCACCATTTACATGAAATCGGACGAAACTATATCTGAATCTGGGCCGATTTTCTCGAAACTGGGCAGACATCATTCTAGGCTCAATTCAGTACGTTATGCCAAATTTCCTGCAAATCGAAAGATATATAAGGACTTTGGTACACCATTTACCTTAAATCGGAGGAAGATATATACGGGAGCTATATCTAAATCTGAACCGATTTTCACGAAACTTTGCACACATCATTCTAGACTTAATTCAGTGCGCTATGCCAAATTTCGTGCAAATCGAAAGATATATAGGGACTTTGGTACGCCATTTACCAAAAATCGGCCGAAACTATATATGGGAGCTATATCTAAATCTGAACCGATTTTCACGAAACTTGGCACACATCTTTCGTGGTTCAATTCAGTACGCTATGCCAAATTTCGTGCAAATCGAAAGATTTTCAGGGTCTAAAGTCCGTAAATCGGGCGAAACTATATATGGGAGCTATATATAAATCTGAACCGATTTTCACGAAACTTGGCACACATCTTTCGTGGCTCAATTC